AGCAATTATGTTGATTCGCTGTGGAGGAGTCACAATGATGGTGTTCTGGCACGATTCTGGATCGTCAAGACGCAGCAGCCAGGTTGATCTGTGGTGATGACATTCAGAGAATCATGTTTTGGCACGATTCAGGATATTCTAACTGATATCTTCCAGCGAGGCAGTTTCCTCAATTCACATAAGCCGTTGTAGGGCCCTATGAAGAGGGAGCTTGGAGAGAGGGTTACTTCAAACATCGTTGATGACTCTTGGGTGTCCACTCCTCCTCCTCCTCCTCCTCCTCCCTCCTCCGCCTCTCCCCCCCCTCCCCCCCCCCTCCCCCTCCCCCTCCCCCTCCCCCTCCCCTCCTCCTCCCCCCCCTCCCCCTCCCCCCCTTCTCCTCCTCCTCTTCCTCTTCCTCCTCCTTCCTCCTTCTCTTCATCTTCCTCATCCTCCTCTTCCTTCTCCTCCTTATCCCCTCCTCCTCCCCCTCCCCCCCCTCCCCCTCCCTCGTCCTCCTTTTCCTCCTCCTCTTTTCATCCTCCTTCCTCCTCCTGTTCCTCCTCCTCCCAACATCCTCTTCCACCTCCTCCTTCTCCTCTTCTTCCTCCTCCTCCTCCTCTCCTCCTCTTCCTCCTCCTCCTCCTCCCCCTTCCCCCCCCCGTCGCCCTTCCCCTCCCGCTCCCTCTCCCCCTTCCCCCTCCCCCCTCTTCTTCTTCCTCCTCCTCCTCCTTCCCTTTCTCCTCCTCCTCCGTTTCCCCTCCTCCTCCTCCTCCGCCTCCTCCTCCTCCTCGTCCTCCTCCTCCTCCTCTTCCTCCTCCTTCTCCACCTCCTCCTGCTCCTGCTCCTTCTTCTGCTCCTGCTCCTGCTTCTGCTCCTGCTCCTGCTCCTGCTCTTGCTCCTGCTTCTGCTCTTGTTCCTCCTCCTCCTCCTCCTCCTCCTCTGCCTCCTCCTCCTCCTCCTTCTCCTCTCCTCCTCCTCCTCCTCCTCCTTCTCCGTCGTCGTCGTCGTTCGCTTTCCTCCTCCTCCTCCCCCTCCCCCTCCCCCTTCCCCTCTTCCTCCTCCTCCTCCTCCTCCTCCTCCTCGTCCGCTTCTTTCCGTTAAATTCCTCCCTGTCGCACCCCGTTGCCGGACGAAAGGGCGGGCCGAGCGTTTCGCCGAATACTTCCTTACCACTCATGATCCTGAAGTTTAGAAATTGGCACTAGCTTTGCAGATGGATGGCGGGTCGCTTCCGAAATGCGGCTCTCGTTTTAGCGCCGTGCAAATCCATTAACAACTTGCAAGAGCTCCACGGATTGAGGGCGGCTGGCTTGCAACTTGTGGCTTTCGCCTCAGCGCCGCGCACATTCGCTATCGATACTTGCCAGAGTTTCAAGGATTGGGGGCGGGTGGTTTTCAACATGGGGTTCTCGCCTCAACGCCGCGAGCATTCGTTGTAAACATTTGCAAGTGTTTGTAAGCGTTTTCAAATTCAACGGTCCGACACTGGGCGGAAAAAACGGGGGGAAAGGGGGGTCTGGCTCTGGACCTCTGTTTGCGGCGACTGTTTGCCATGCCACAATGCGCCCCTATGAGGGAGGGACTCCACCTATTCGAAACAGGCGACAAACACAGCCAAAATCTACTCCATAGGGGGGCGACGGGGGGTGCGAGGGCCAGCGCCGATCGGCAAAATAATACATAAACAAAACAACGACCTTCACTGATTGAGGGCGGGCCGTTTCCAAAATGTGACTCTCGCTTCAGCGCAGTCGTTTTACAACATTTCCAAGAGATTCACGGATTGAGGGCCGTTCGTTTTGATGTTTGGCTCTCGCCTTCGCGCCACCCGTATGAATCTAAAACATAACAACCTGTGTTTTGGAGCGGTTCCGGATTGTCAGGGCGCAGCAGTTACGCTGATTCGCACTGTTGAAGTCCCAGGAAGGGTGTTCTGGCACGATTCAGGATCGCCAGCGCGCGACAATCAAGTTCACTCGTGGCGTTGGCCTTCGGAGAACAATGTTTTACCACGCCTCAAGATTTTCACACGGTTGTCCCCTACGGGGCAATTCCCTCAGTCGAAATGAACCGTTGTATGGGGTCTATGAAGAGGGGACTTGGAAGGAGGGTGTATGTCAACATCGTTGATGAATCTTGGGTTTGCACTGGTCCTCCTCCTCCTCCTTCCTCCTCCTCCTCCTCGTCCTCCGCCTCCGCCTCCGCCTCCGCCTCCCCCCTCCGCCTCCGCCTCCCCCCTCCTCCTCCTCCTCCTCCTCCTCCTCCTCCTCCTCCTCCTCCACTATTTTCTGGAGACTCTTAACTGGGCATGGTCCACTACTGGGAAATGGGGCCCCAAGAAAAGAAACAAGAAAGGGAACTTACCTTACTCGGCGGACCAGGAGGCCCGCTGTGGGGGGAGCTCATCCCTCTCGAGGCGGGCAAAAGGCGACCTTGCCTGCTTGGGTGGCTCTGGTGCACGCCTTGGCCTCCCCTGATCCGCCACACGTTGTGCACCACCACGGGCCCCTTGTGTTCCTGAGGTGGTGGCTAAAATGAATTTGAGCTGGCCGTCCTATACATGGGGAACGGAACCACTCAAGCTTGGGGAGGGCTCTCGTGGGGGACTGCAAGCAAACAACACACCGCGCCCCTCCGTTGCAGGCCTGTGGCCTGTGAGCGGAAGTGGCGGACGCAGCGACGAGGTCGACCCGCTTGGTGAATCGCTTCGCACGCTGCAGGGCAATTTGCTCGGCGAGAGTGGGCCCTGGATTGCCTCTGGCCGCCTGAAGCCATCAGTTGACTTCTTCGAGGCCTACCATCAGCAAGTGCATACCTTGGAGGCTAGCTCGTCCAGGGCGGCCAGGTCCGCCTTGGCCTGGGGCGGGATGGCGGCTTCCTTCGCACCGAGGTTGGCCGCTTCGTCGGCCACCTCGTTCGCAACAAAATCATCTCCGCGAGCGAACCTCCCTATGTCAGCACGTAAGAGGTGAGACTTTACTTTGCAAAAGATAGGGTCCCCAGGATGCTCGTCCACCTCGGCCATAATCTACACCAGGCAGCAGAGTTGGTTGAGTTGATGTTCTGGCGACCTCGAGCTGCGCCATCGATAACATACTGGGCATCAATGGCAAAACGTCTTGGGTTGGACCCGATGTGTGGCGCAGGGCTTGGGCTATCGCTTCAAACTCGGCCAGCGGGACCGTTTGGGAGCAGCATACCAGTGGGCCCCAAACTTTCTCCACGACGTGGCCCTGGCTAGCGACAACAAAACCCCACCCGCAACGCCTGCACCGAATGTCCGAGGAGTCTTCCACCCCGCTGCCGTCCTCCTCCTCCTCCTCCTCCGCAACCTCCGCCACCTCCGCTTCCGCCTCCTCCCCCTCCTTCCCCGCCTCCTCAGCCTCCTCCTCCTCCTCCGCCTACTGCTCCTGCTCCTCCTCCTCCTGCTGCTGCTGCTCCTCCTCGTCCTCATCCTCCCTTTTCGTCCTCGTCCTCGTCCTCGGGCGAGTTTCTTGATCATCGGCGATGACGGGCGTCATGGGGGGGAGGGGCGGGGGGGGTATGACGTAACGCCCCACCCTCCGCCGTGCGGCTCCGGCACCACAGCCGCGCCCCCATGCGCATGACGACGATGAGCGACGAGCGACGAGCGACGAGCGACGACGACGACGACGCGAGCAGCATGTAGGTGGCGATCTGCCCCACAGCGCCTGTGTACACCACAATGCTCGCGTGCACCACAACGCTTGTGTACACCACAGCGCCTGCGTAAACCGCATCAGCCGTGTGCAACGCAGCGCCTGTGTACACCACAATGCTTGCGTGCACCACAGCGCCGGTGCACACTGCACACCACAGCGAATGTGCAGACCGCAGCAGCCATGTGCCACACAGCGCCTGTCTACACCACAGTGCTTGCGTGCACCGCACCGCCTGTGCACACCACAGCGCCTGTCTACACCACAGCGTCCGCGTGCAACGCAGCGCTTGTGTACACCAGAGTGCCTGCGTGCACAAGACAAGTACAAGGAACATGTCGGCGAGGATGTGCTGCGGAAACCTAAACGCCACGCCGGGGAAGTGCTGATAATAGAATGCGACGTTTTTCCCCCCTCCCTCCTCCACCTCCGCCTCCTCCTCCTCTTTGTCGTCATCTTCCTCCTCTTCGTCGTCCTCCTCCTCCTCCCTCACACTTCCCCCTTGCCGTGCGGGTCGGCACTACAGCGCACGTGCGCGTCTCAGCGTGCACCGCAGAATGGTCTATTCGTTGGTGCCGTGCTGAGTGCACGCAGGCATTGTGGTGTACACTGGTGCTGTGTCGCACACGGCTGATGTGGTGTACGCAGGCGTTGTGGTGTACACAAGCGCTGTGGTGCAAGCGCGCACTGTGGCACACACTGGCGCTGTGATGCACGCGGCTACTGTGGTGTACATAGGCGGTGTGTTGTACACGGGCGCTGTGGTGCACGCAGGCACTATGGTGTACACAGGCGTTGTGGTGCAGATCGCCACCGACAAGCTGCTGCTACCCTTCCTCGGTGATGCCTAGGCTCTCCCAGACGCCACCGGCGCGAAACGTGACGCCATCGGCCCCCTCCCCTCCCCAGGTGATTGCCGTCATCGGCCCGGATTAACAAAACAGGCTCCGTCTGCGTCCGCGCACACGACGACGATGAGCGACGAGCGACAACGACGACGACCACGAAGACGACGACGACAACGACGACGACGACTGCGGACCAAACTCCTATGCGGACTTCTATGCGGACATCTATGCGGATCACGATGCGCACGGCGGCAGTGTACAGAACGCACTGGGGGGTGAGCGTTACGTTGTAGGGGGGATGGGGGCCAGGGGCCATGACGCCCGTCATGCCCCAAGCAATAAGGAAACGTACTCCTCCTCCTCATCCTCCTCCTCCTCCTCGCCCTCCTCCTCCTCCCCCTCCTCCTCCTCCTCATCATCCGCCTCCTCCTCCTCCTTCTCCTCCTCCTCATCCTCCTCGACCACGGCGACGGCGAGGCCGCTGGCGCTCCTCCTCTGCGCTGGCGCCGGGCCGCTCGACGCCGAGCTTCCGGAACGCCCCGTCGATTTGCTTCGCCAGGTGCGCCTGTGGCACCAAGAACGACGACGACGACGGCGACGACGACGTCGACGACAACGACGACGGCGATGACGGCAACGACGACGATGGCGGCGGCGATGGCGGCGGCGACGACTACGACTACGACTACGACTACGACGACGACGACGTCTCGTTTCTCGTCCTCCTCCTCCTCCTCCTCCTCCTCCTACTCCTCCTCTTCCTCCTCCTCTGCCGCCGCCGCCGCCTCCTCCTCCTCCTCCTCCTCTTCTTCCTCCCCCTCCTCCCCCTCCTCCCCCTCCTCCTCCTCCTCCTCCTCCTCCTTCCCCTGCCAATCCCGCACGCGTCGCGGAAGAATCACGGCGGGAACTTGTTGCTTGCCGCTGTCGACAAAAACGCAAGAGTGACCTTGGATAGGAGTGACCTTAGGTGCGCGGCTTTTTGTGGGCCGCGGGGGGGGCAAGCACCAGCGCGCACGACCCTCGCATTGCGTTCGGCGATCGGGGGACCCCAACGAGCCCGCACCAAAGGCTATTCCAGCGAAGGGCCTCCTCCTCTTGCCCCGTCTCCTCCTTTTCCTTCTCCTCCTCCTCCTCCTCCTCCTCCTCCAATCCTCCTCCTCCTCTTCCTCCCAATCCTCCTCCTCGTCCTCCCCCTCCTCCTCCTGCTGCTCCTCCTCCTCCTTCTTCTCCACCTCCTCCTCCTCCTCGTCCTCCCCCTTCTCCTCTTCCTCTTCCTCCTCCTCTTTTTTGGCAGCAACGCCAATGCCTCGCAGAGATGACGTTTCCTGCTCGAGGCTCAAGCAAGCGCCGAGGAGCTGAGCTCCTAACAATAAGGAAACACAATCGTCAATGTCAACCGTGACCTGATCCCTATCAGAATGCAAGCCCTTCGTTGGCTTGCGCATGTTGCGCATTGACGTGATGGTGGGCTGGCCACACACCTTGCCGAGCTTGGCCAGGCTAGCCCCCTCGGACGTCTTGAACATCTCTCTCTCTCTCTCTCGCTCTCTCTCTTGGGGGAGGAGGAGGAGGAGGAAAAGGAGGAGGAGGAATGTCTGCCCTCTCTGTTCTCTCTCTCTCTCTCTCTCTGCTTTCCCTGCCTCCGTCCGGCTCTCTCGTGTTTGGCTCTTGCCCGCGTATACTCAGAAGAGGACCCATGGTAAATATTCAGCTCCCGAATACCGAATTCAACTACAGCGAAGGCGACGTGCGCAAGCAGGGGCACGAGAAACTCCGAAAATAAATTACGCGGCAACCGCCTGCTTGACAGGACCTTAACATTCTAGGTTGTCCCGTAGAGATTGCAGCCCCGAAACAAGGCAGACAACAAAACTAGGAATTGAAAAACAAGAAGTGGACCCGCGACGCGGCATGAAACAAAACAAGGAACACCCTGGAACAGCAGGAGGAAGATCTGGGAAACATCCGTCGGGGGATCTGGGGGGTGTCCAAAGGAAGACTTGACGCGGTTGCACAGCGATAAATCTGGAGGAATGTTTCGGGAATAGTTGCGGAAATATCTGAGGGAGGAAGATCTGGCGGAAGATCTGGCGAAAGATCTGACCGAAAATCTAGCGGAAAATCTTGCGACAAATCCCGCGGGAAATATGGAGGATAAATCTGGCGGAGGATCTGTCGGAAAATCTGGCGGAAGATCTTGAGGAAGATCTGGCGGACAATCTGGCGGAAGATCCGGCGGATGATCTGGCGGATAATCTCGCAGAAGATTTAGAAGATCAATCCGGAGGAAGATCTGGCGGGAGATCTGGCGGAAGATCTCGCGGAGGATCTGGCAACAAATCTGGTGGAAGATCTGGAGGAAGATCTCGCGGAACATATAGCGGAAGGAAGATCTGGCGGAAGATCTGGCAGAAGATCTTGCGGAAGATCTGGCGGGAAATCTGGCGGAAGATCTGGAGGATGAAACTGGCGGAAGATCTGGCGGAAGACGTGGAATACAACTCTGGCGGAAGATCTGCCAGAAGACCTGGAGAAAGATTTGGCGGAATATCTGGAAGAAGATATGATGGAAGATCAAGCGAAAGATCCCGCGGAACGTCTAGCGGAAGATCTGTCAGAAGATCTGGCGGAAGATCTTGAGGAAGATCTGGCGGAAGATCTGGAGGAAAATCAGGCGGAAGATCTGGAAAATAGATCCGGCGGAGAATATAGCGGACGATCTGGCGGAAGATCGGGAATGCAAATCTGGCTGAAGATCTGGCGGAAGATCTGGCGGAAGATCTGGCCAAAGATCTGACGGAAGATCTGGAGGAAGATCTGGCGAACGGTCTGCCGGAAGATCTGGAGGATGAAACTGGCGGAAGATCTGGCGGAAGATCTGGAGGAATATTTGGCGGAAGATATGGAGGAAGATCAGGCGAAATATCTGGCGGAAAATCTGGAGGATGAAACTGGCGTAAGATCTGGAGGAAGATCTCGCGTAAAATCTGGATAAAGATTTGGCGGAATATCTGGAGGAAGATATGGTGGAAGATCAGGCGAAAGATCCCGCGACAAATCTAGCAGATGATCTGCCAGAAAATCTGGCGGAAGATCTTGAGGAAGATCTGGCGGAAGATCTGGAGGCAGGTCAGGCGTAAGATCTGGAGGATAGATCTGGCGGAGAATATAGCAGAAGATCTGGCGGAAAATCTGGAATGCTAATCTGGCTGAAGATCTTGCGGAATATCTGGCGTAAGATCTGGCGGAGGATCTGGCGAAAGACCTGACGGAAGATCTGGAGGAAGATCTGGCGAAGATCTGGCGGAAAATCTGAAGGAATATTTGGCGGAAGATCTGGAGGAACAGTTGGCGAAAGATCTGGCGGAAAATCTGGAGGATAGAACTGGCGGAAGATCAGGGGGAAGATCAGGATGAATACTTGGCGGGGGCTCCTGCTCTTCCACCATCACCTCCTCCTCCTCCTCCTCCTCCTCCTCCTCCCCCTCCTCCTCCCCCTACTTCTCCACTCCGTCCTCCTCCTCGTCGTGCTACACCTCCTCCTCCTTTTCTTTCGCCAAAGATTCGTCCAGAGTTTCCGCCGGATCTTCCGCCAGATCCTCCGCCAATTTTCTCCCCCAAATCTTCCTCCAAATCCTCCGCCAAATTTTCATCCAAATCTTCAGCCAAAACTTCCGCTAGATCTTCTGCGACATCTTCCGCCATATTCATATTTCAAATATTCCGCCAAATCTCCCACTATCTTCCGCCATATTTATCCTTCACATATTCCGCCACATGCTCCGCCATATCTTTCGCTAAATCTTCCTCCAAATCTTCCGCCAAATCTTCCCGTCCAAATCTCCCGCGAAATCTTCCGTCAAATCGTTCTCCAACTGTTCCGTCAAATTTTCCTCCAAATCTTCTGCTATACGTATCTTCCGCCAAATTGATCCTCCAAATCTTCCGCGAGATCTTCCCGCAAATCTCCGGCCAAATGTTCCGCCAAATCTTCCTCCCAATATTCCGCCATATCTCCCTCTAAATATTCAGCCAATTTTTCTTCCAGATTTTCCGCCTGAATTTCCGCCAGATCTTCCGTCAACTCTTTCGCCTGATTTTCCGCCAGATCTTCCGCCAGCTCGTCCGCCAGATCTTTCCCCAGATCTTCCTCACTCAGATTTTCCCGCAGATCTTCCCCCACATTTTTTTCCAAATTTATCGCTTTGCGACCTCTGCCAGGGGGAGGAGGAGGAGGAGGAGGAGGAGGAGGAGGAGGAGGAGGAGGAGAAGGGAGAGGAGGAGGAAAAGGGGGTGGAAGAAGATAGCCGTGACCATTTTAAAAACTAGGTTTTCGACAATCACTCGCGCGATGACGGCAGGGCATGAAACACCATAAAGAATTCTACAAGTACAATCTTAGAGTAGGTCCGCGAGACTGAAGCCGGGCATGCCCGTCTAGTTCTTTTGAACTCCCTGTACCTTCAGCATAGCCGCCGTGGAATCAGTCACATGGCCAGCCGTGCACCCTCTCGTCGCTAGCCCCATGAGCTTCAGCAAGACCTCGATCCTCCAGCCGCCCAGGTACTTCGTCCCGATGTCTGCTCAGTTCACCGCCGTGTCCAACTTGATCACCTTCAGATCCTTCGTCCGCACGCGCTCCTGTATCCACAGGTTCTGGATGCGGAGATGCCGCACTCGGCCTGACCCCACTCGATGGGCCATCACCTTCGCGGCCGAGCTGTCCGCGCCAGCAACTCCCTGCGCGTGGATCCCGCACAGCGCGAGGATGTGCTCCAACAGGATAGCGGAGGCACCCGCCCTGTTGAGAGCCAGTACCTCTGCCACCCCGCTTGACGTGGACGTCGTCACCTCCAGGCAGTGGTCGCCAAACAGCATCGCCGTGCACTGCGTGGACTTCGCGTCGTCCGCTCCTGTCCAATCGCTGTCGCCCTCGACGTCCGCCGTGACTGGGGGGTCCTGCAACGGGTAGTGCCACTCCGTCACTGGGCACCCCACCAGGTACCGCGCAACACGCTTGAGCCTGACCTCAGCGAGTGGCGTAGGCTACGACGCTTCCGCCATGACCATCCTCGCTGCGTACTGCACCTGCGGCGCGCCCTGGGGCAGGTAGGTCGGCACTCCGCCTGCCTTGGTAACCAACCTCTTGAGCTGCTCGTCCACGACCGCCTCCTTGGGCACGGAGCCTCCCGTGGCCTTCGAGCCTGGGCTTGTCTGAGGCTTCGTCGTGTTAGCTGGCAGGTCCAAGAGCTCGAGCAGAATGTCCACGTGCGAATCATCTGCTCTCCACACGAAGCGAGGAGACGGAGCCCCCCGCCGCTCGACGCGTCGCTTGTGCAGCCTGCCGTGGCCACCGCCGGTGGCGCCCGGCCCCGCTCGACCCAGCTTCTTGATCTCGATGTGCTCCTCCAGCAACGCGTCGAGCACGTTCGGCTTCGCCGGGATTCCCTCTGCCGCGACGTCGTCGCCGTGCACGCTCAGCGTGATGTCCAACGTCTCGTTGTTGATGGCGCCAGGGCACGGCGTGATCCGAGCCCATGGTGGCTGACTCTTCTCGAAGACGTC